TTAGAGACGGGAAGTAAAAGAAATGGCGTACTCCACAGGACCCAGAAACCCTACCAACTAAGTCTTATTTATTTTATTTTATTTTAGACAGGGTTTCATGTAATCCAGGCGGCCTCGACCTGTGCTTCAGCCTCTGGAGTGCTAGGATTACAGGCAAGGGTCACCACACCCTGTCTTCTTATTTTTTTTTTAATGCAAACATCTAATGTTATGGAGACAGAACAGAACTCTAAGTCAATTCTGGAAAAGTCTGTACTATCAGCACAGGGAAATGTTTTTTCCCCTCTTCTACTGCAACGGAGTAAGCCAGGCTTTAAAAAACCCATATCCGCGTGTCCATTTTAAACAGAGATAACATCCTTCGGGAGCCTTCCACTTCCTGGTTCCTCTTCTTCCCTTACTTAGTAAGATAAAATTCACCCCCAGGAGTCTGATCCCTATGGAACCAGACTCAGAAAATGACGTCATTCAGACTTGCCAGAGCACTGCACTTTTAAGGGGATTTCAGGATTTCCAGTCACTGCTTCAGCTTGTTAGTTTGAGGTTGTTGTTGTTGTTGTTTGGGATTCATTTGGGGTTTTTTTTTGACATTTTTATATAAATGGAGCAACCAGACAACTGTCCAAATGCGCTTCTGCCTCCCTGAACACATTTGGCAGGGTGATGTTGATAGAGACTAGAGTGTTTCTTCTTCCTTCTCTTGTTCCTAATGAGATGAGATTCCAGGAAAGTGATAGAAAAGTCGAGTTCAAAACTAACTAACTGCCTCTGTTTGCATATACACAGGTTTTCTGTCACCAAGTCCCTCATGGTACACTTTGTCAGTTCAACTGACCAGAGAGCAAATCTCAACCCCTGATAGGGCAGGCACACAGGGACACTAAGGTCACCCTACTTCCCATCACCAGGGGCCTCTTTTGTACGAAGGCTAATCAGGCAGTTCTGTAATCTGAGGCAGTTTTCAATTTAAATGGTCCGAAATCCAGAAATAATTAAGACAATGCAAGTGCACACCTGTTCAAGGCAGCGACTGTGTGCGTCTTTGGGGAGGGACAAGAACTCTTGAGATCCAAAGACAGAAGCATCAGTGACTTACTAAGCCCCTCCTTGGCAGAAAGGAAAAATGTCCTAATTCATTCCTTTCTAGGGTGAGATCATGGTGCTGGGAGAAATGTAGATTTAAAAATTCCCCTCAAGTTCGAAAGTTTTCAAGGAACTGTTTATTTAAATCATTCATAACTGAGTTTATAAAGTAAGATAGAAATTGCCAAAGGACGCTATCATTTTAGTTTAATCTGATAGTTGTGTCGTTACTGTTTCTTTTAGCCTTTGCTTGAACTCCGAGGGTTGGGGGCCTTTATCAATAACACAGTAGAATCCTCCGGTTGTTTTCTTTCTGTTAAATCTGTAACTGTATCCTGACTTTCTCTCTCTCAAGACTTCTGAATGTTTACAACCTAAGGAAAGTCCTGTTTCTCTAACTCAAGGCCTTTTTAACACACACACACACACACACACACACACACACACACACACACACACGAACCCCACATACCATAAAAAGCATTCCTATTTAAAATTAAAAATCTCAACGTCTAGAAATTTTCTTTGTAATTAAAAAAAAATTTCAATTCAACTTGATTCCCTAACATCCAAAGTCAATGAATGTTTCTAAAAATTATGGCCCCCAAATTATTTCAAACGCCTTCACGGTTGTATCTCCAGTTAAATGTTTCAAGTCTAAGGCAGATTTATTTTTCTCAGATGCACCCAAGACCATTAAAATTTGCTGCTGCCTCCTCTCCCCCCTCACCAGCTACAATTATTTATCAAGGTAATTTCTGACTGTTATTTGGAAAAAAATTGAAAGGAAAAAAAATTACATGCTATTTTCCAAAAAAAAAAAAAAACTGCTTAAAAGCAACATTTTGGAAGTGAAGGTGTGGGCTGGGGGCACCCTGTGTGCATTTTCCTTCTGGGTCCTAGCTGCCCCATGAGAAGTGTTTGACTCCCCTATCGGAAGCTCGCTAGCATTCTAGTTGGTGAACTGTGCTCCCCTTCTACGCCCAGAAAGACCTTCGGGCCACTCTTTAAGGTGATTTTTATCACACTCAGTCAGGAAGGGCCTAATAGGTGAGAAGCCATTTTCAGAGCAGAGCTTGCTACAGATGTCCTAAGAAAATCCTTGAGACACCATCTTTGAAAAAATATTTGAAGATTGTTCACTGGAGTAAATACTTAAGCCTGCCCTCCCTGGCTTTCTTGGGCCTGTAGCCATATTACTCAGCCTCAAAGAATTCATCAATATTCAACTGGCTCTCTTAATATGCTGATGTAGCAAAAGGAGTTTAATAAAGAAAGCTGTTGCCATTTTTCTTCAGAGGACCTGTCACAAATTCATCTTTCATCTTCCAGCGCTGGAATCTTCTGGTATTTATGTAGGAAAATTAATGTTTATGTGCAGGAATCCAAACAAACGGACCCACCAAGCCGAACCTTAAAAGCCCAAAGAAAGCCTCTTACCCCGAGGACTCGGGAACTGTATGAATGATCTTGCCGAGGACTTAGACGAGTGTTCAGTCACGTCTGGCAAGCCGGCAAACTTTCAGTCCTGTCCACGAGTTATGAAGATATTAATAGAAAAAATTTGTAGGTCCTACTAGTAATGTTAAGTGCTCACCAAAACTATACACGTTATCCGTCGTGTTGGGAAAAAAAAAATCCTGAAAAGAAAAGCTTGGTCTCGAAAATCTTTTTGACTAATTTTTCTCGGCAGTTTTGCAGACCCTGGAAGACTCTGCTGTCCTGCCCTCTCGCCCCTCCCCCCCCCAAAAAACCCGAAAATAAGCCCAAATCATCAGAATAAGGCCACGCGATTCTAGCAACGCCTTGAAACTTTGCGATCGTCCTCGTAAAACTCAGTTTTCAGATCAGCCCTGAAGAAATATCGCAGTAAAATACAGAAGTACAGAGAGAGTTAAGCAGCGCAAAGAAGCGGCAGCGCTGAGCACGGCGGAATTCGTGATTTTAGTATCCGTCTGCTGTTTTTGCGCCTGCGAGCGTGTTTACCCGTTTTACGATTGCTTTTTGCCCCCCTCTTTTGACACCTGGTGCGTTTTGTTGCAGTTGCTCCAGCTCCCTCCTGACGTTCCAAACTATCCTTCACTCGTTCTACCCTCAGCAACAAAACAGGCTGTACTCTGGGAGCATGGAGGACCCCGCGGCCCGCACCGCAGCTGCCAGGGTGACACTCAACTGCTGGCGTTTCACGAACGTCCGGATGTTCTCGGTAGTCGATGACGCCCCAGAACCCACTAAGTCCCAGACCAGACAAGAGGTGGATGGAGTGGAGGTTTAGTCAAGAGCTGCCAACCAGGACTAGGGCCTCTCCCTCGGAGTCCCCAAGCAAACGCGCTAAGTAGTTCCTGTGTAGCGCCTTGCACCCAGCACTCCACCTGCCCCTGTGGCCCCTTCTGGTCATCTTCTGGTGCCCCCAGATATGTGGCTGATGCAGGCCAGTGATACCCGTTGCCCTTCCTGTTCAAATCCATCTGAGTTTACATCCCGCTCGCTCAAAGATTTGTCCAACCCGGGAAAGGGGTAAAGAAAGAAGCTGAGTTTATGTTTAGCATCCAGGCGCTATTTTATAAGGGATTTCTCCCAGATTTTTTTGTGAGGCAGTCTCTCACATAGCTCAAACTGTCCTCGAACTTGTTATGTAGCCAAGGACGCTCTTAAACTTCTGTTTCTCCTGCTCCACCTCCCTAGTGCTGGGATCTTAGGCGTGCACCACCATGTTTGGTTTCTCCAGATTTGTGTTGTTATGACATTTTGCAAATATACAAGCAAGTCGCGAATATAGTACAATGAAAGGCTATTTCCTTCCCACCCAGAAGCAACATTGTCTGTTAGTTCGTGGCAATGCATTCCCCCCTCTCTGACTCTCTCTCTTCTCTCTCTCTCTCTCTCTCTCTCTCTCTCTCTCTCTCTCTCTCTCTCTCTCTCTCTCTCTCTCTGTGTGTGTGTGTGTGTGTGTGTGTGTGTGTGTGTGTGTGTGTCGGCGACATCATTTGAAAATCGTGGCCATCGTTACACTTCATCTCTCTTGCTTTGACACAGACCTTGTCAGAATGTGGACACCCTGCTATTAACTTCAATACCATTCTCTCACCTCCCTAAACCGCGTTGTCCCTAAGGAAATCGACCATACAGAAGAAAGACTCCTTTTCTTTCCTCAGTCAAGACTCAAAACTTGTCATGAAGACTTCCCTTCTTGGGCTGGACATACATAAAAAATGTTGTTCCCTGCCTCGGTGTTATGCCCACCCACCACCCCCAAAGTGGACCGCCAGGACCTAAGGGAGTCCTCTACCTGAGGGAGAGTTTGGAAAGAGTAGTCAGAGCACAGAAGACCTACAGATCTGGGACACGAATGCACCCTGAGCACCCCCCTGCAGTCTGAGGGTCCCTTATTTCCCCCATCCCATTTCAGAACGCCCCCCCCCCCCAAGATAAACAATCCCAAGAGGTTTTGATTAGCCACTCTGTGCCCTGCTGGCAGCCCAGAGGACTAGTGAGAGCAGAGTGGCATTTGTGTTCTGGTTCTTTCAGCTGGAGCTGAGCTACCTTGTGTCCTTGGTTTTGCTCTTTTTCCCCCTTTCCCCTTTCTCCTTTTTTTTTCTTCCAGAACCCGGGGCTATGAGGCTCTGGACGTGGCCACTGCAGGCTCCCCACGTCCTTCCCCAGCCCTTCCTGGCTGCAGGCCAAGGCTGTGGCGCTGAGCGCCAGCACGGCCTCACCCCCCCCCCTCCTTCCGCCCCCCGGGCCTCGGAATCGCTGGGAGGGGCGCGGAGCAGAGCCTGGCCACACCCCCCGGGCCGGCTTTTTCTAGGGCTGCGGCGAGCCACTGGGCGCTGGCTGCTCCCGCTCGCCTCTTGGGGTGCGCTCAGCTCCAGCCCGACTCCAGCCCGACTCCAGCCCGACTCCAGCCCGACTCCGGCCCGACTCCGGCCCTGCTCCGGCTCTGCTCCAGCCCGGCTCCTGCCCTGCTCCAGCCTGGCTCCCGTTCTCCTCCGCCACGCCTCTCTGTGAGCTCCGCACCCCGACTCCCGACTCCCAACTTTCGGTCCCTCTGGCGCTCAGCGTCCCGTACCCCCGTGACCTCGCGCCCTCCCAAGACCCTGTGCCCAATCTTCTACCCCCCTCAACCCCGCCACAGTCCTCTGCCCTTTCTCTCTCGCTCTCCAACTGTCTGGACGTCAGTCGGTCTGTCTGTCCGCCTCCCCACCCTCCTTTTCCTTCCTCTGTCCCGCGTCTCTGGCTTGTTCGCTAGTTCGACTTGGCGGGGCAGCTTCGCAGGAAAATCCCAGAAACCATTGCAAAAAGCTTACAATGAAATTTAAGAAGTTCTACGATTTCGGCGCCATTTTCGAGTGGAGTGAGAGGTGACTTGCGATCTAAAAAAAGGAGGGGGAGGGGACTTTTAGGCTGACCTTTCCCGCCCCCCCCCCAACTATGAGGCTAGTCACTGCAGACTGTAACAGATGCGGGGATAATTCTGAAAAAAAGTTTTGTGTCGCGCTGAGTGGAGGGTGGGGGTGGAAAGTGTGTTTGGGGGGGTCGGTGTGGGGAGAGGACAGAGTGTGCCCCGAGAACTCAGAAAATAGTCTGAGAAGAGTGAACAGGGAAGAGCAGAGAGAGAAAAGTGAGTGAGGGGCGGTGGCCGGCTGTCAGCCTCGCCAGGGTGGGGAGCGACTGGTTTTGACAGACTGTAAATGGACTTTAGGCGACTCTCATTTGTAAGCAGTAAAGACTGTCCTGGAAAGAAACATAAATTTCAGTTTACATTGTCTCTCCCTAACTAAAACTTTTTAAGGTTGTTTAGCTCTTCCAGTATGAAACTCGACGTTGGAAAAGTTTGGCTCGAAGGTGCGGAGGACGTGTACACCGTGCGTTTTGGGTGTGGGGGCGCAAGGCTTAAAACGTTAAAAGACGAGACGTTCTCAACTGTGAAGAGAGGAAGAGGCGTAGTCTTTGGCTCTTAAATCATTTGGCCAAACACGTCGCAGTCCTGAAGGGGGTGGGGCCAGGGCAACTCCAAAGTATTGATTCTTTGTCTTTTCTATTCAGCGAATGACCCTCTCTAGAAGTGACCAGACGCCTCTTTGTGTTCTCCTTTCGTAAGTAAAATTCAGCCCAAAGGGAAATACGTGAGCCAGGGGAGTGAGACGACTTTTAAGGGATATAAGTCGTTGTAGTGTTACTGGAAGAAAAGAAATCTGTGAGGTAAAATATAGATGAATTTGGTTCCGGTGTGTTCGTTAACAAAATGATCTAGAAGGGCGCTGATGTTACTTCTAATGAACTTACTTTTTTAAAAAAGTAATCAACTAAGGAAATGTTAAATTAGGATTGGCTTTAATCTATTATGTGATGACTCATATTTGTAGGGGTACATAAAATTAAATTGGGAGAAAGTTATGTATCTTTAAAGTATAATTGTACCTTTACTAAACATGTTTTTTTTTTCTCTCCCTCTCTCTCTTTAAGGGCGACCATCAACGGTTTTTTTCTCCATTATTCCGCCGTGTCCGTGTAAAAATGATTTGTAATATAGCCAAGACAAGATGGAATTTAGAGACTCCAACTTAAGGAGTAGAGCTATTATTATTAATGGCTTTATTTATCATGACCTTATGGCTTTATTATTAGTGCATTTGTTAGCACTGGATCACAATCTGTTGTGTTAGGCATTTTGTACTTAGTTTAATTACATACTCTGTATATTTAATTAATCAATTAGTTAATAGGACCCAGAATTCATTGTACTAGTTTTGAATAACGGACATAATTTTAAATGAAAATACAGGAAGTTTGGTGAGGTTGAATCTCTGTTTATGTATACAAAATGTATTTTTACTTTCAAAGGCAGTATAGTTTTATTGTTTTAATTATTAGGCCTGTGGCTAAGGACCGAAGGATTTTTTTGTGTGTGCTTTCTTGAATGTTTTGTTTAAACAAAAGGAAATGAAATGAATGTAACTTACTGCTCATGTGTCCATTTTGAGAGTCAAGAACGGGAGTGTGCACAGTGCCGGCCATTTCAAGACACGAGTTTCTGTGGAGTTGTTCAAGAAGGAACCATTTGACATCAAGTATTTAAAGCTGATTTGTGGTTTGATAAGTGACATTGACAAATGTAAAGTATTTGTGAATAAGTTTGAATAACCTGCAATGTATGAAAACATCTAGGGGTTTCATCTATAGAACATTCTCATGCTTAAAATCAACTAATGAGAAGGTGTTCACTGTAAGAGTGGAGGAAACTATTAGACATGAGTTAAAACCAAAGGAGCTACCCACAGGTTTTTTTTTTAAATCAAAAGTTCCTTGCATCAATTTCCAATAAATGACCCCAAACTGGGGACAATAAATGAGACTTATACAAGGCAGCAGGAACTTTCACCAAGACTTTGGAGCTGGCAAGAGTGATCCAGATGTTACCAAATTGTCTCGATTTATTTAATCTTACTTTTCATCTCCTTTCTGAGGTAAGAGTTACCCCCCACCCCATTATCCACCAATACACTTTTCCAATATTCATGGTGAGGGTGTGTGAAAGCCTTACCCTTCACCTCTCCAGCAGATCCTGAAGCAAACAAAGTTCTAAGAAGTGCTAGCTTATGAAAAGTCCATCAACCTGGAGTGATAGGTCCTCAGCAGCATACATTGTAGTTAATCCTCACCAGGGAGCAGGGCAAGGAGGGGCTCCTTCTTCTCACAGAGACTTTCTTCATTCACAGGTACCCCAGTGCGACCCCCACCCTCGTTGGCTCCGAAGGGATGCAGCAGCAATTCATGTTTTGGAGTATTGCAAAGGTTCAAAACATGAAGCGCTGCACCACCCCTTCGCGGGAAAAGTAGAAGGTGGGGGCCAGCAAAGCAGACCCCGTGTGGGTTCTCCTAAAAACCCCAAAGCAGGTAGGTGGGAGGGCAGGGGCTTGCGGTCCATCCTTTCCCTGGGCAGGGCCTTAGTCTAGTGAGGGCCACCCTGCACTGTTCAAGGGCCTGGGAGGGGGTGACTGCCAAGCAAGCTGGCCATGCGCATGGAGGAGGGACAAGGTATCCTGCTCTAGCCCACCACACTCAGTCGTGCCCTAGCAGCGGGAACAGTACTGCAGTGAGTGTTTGGTGCCCTGGAGTATTGTTTCCGCTGCCCGGGTAAGTCTGGGACTTACACATGGGCACACCCACCCACCAGGTAAGTTTCCATCTGTCGCCTGCAGCATAGGCCCCAATGGGAGCCAGGCCCCAGAACAGCTCCAGACCAGAGCTTTTGTGTTTGTTGTCCGCGAAGCACTTGGCCCTCTGTGATTATGTGACTGGGTGTGACAGAAACTGTTGTTAGCACCTCATTCCCTGCCCAGGTAAAACTGAACCGACTAGAAAGCAAGAACTTCCCGACAACCTAGTAAAATACCACCCCCAGGACAGCAATGAAGAAAGTCTGCCTTCAGTCCTCAACAACAAAACGGGGAAGGGCTTTCCCTAAAAGGAATAAGAAGGGGTGCAAAGATGGTCAGGAAGGGTGACTTGAAGCAATCCCTATTTCTCTCTGCAGTTTCTACCCATAGAGCTTAGCCCCCTGTAGAAAGGACGTTAGAGGTCAGGAAAGATTAAGGGTCCCACAGCTGTGCTGGAGGGGGGGAGGGGCAGCATCCGTGGATCTCTGGCATCAAAAAAATAAAACCATACCTAGAGGCACATGGCCTTGCTGGTGATGAACCTCAGGTGGCACAGTGAGGAGCAGAGGCCAACAGGAAGCCTCGGAGTGTTTCTAGACCGCTTTTGTCCCCATTTCCCAAAGTCACCACACAAACCTACCCTGACCGCAGGGACTCAAGGACACCCTCGCTCTTAGAAGCTCTGAGAAAATAGCAAGCAGCATCAGAGCTGTATATTCCAAGTCCCTTTGTGACCCCCCAAACTCTGTGCTGTGACTAATGATCATGGCACCTCTGTAGCCCACCCTCATGCCACCTCCACTCCCTTGAGGAGCCCTCTGAGCCCTCAATGAGAAAGGGGGTTCAGAGTCACCTGGGAACTGGAGAAGAGTGTGAATTACCTGAGCACGGCCTTACTTTTCCTGTGAACATCACTTTATATGACCTAGAGCACCGGCATATTGGAAAATGTAGTGGGAATGGAATCTCTCTGCTTTGTCATCTTAAAAAAATATAATAAAAATACGCATACACACACCCTTCTGGTCTCTATGAGCTACCTTGTAGTGGTCTTCCCCAGGGACTGGGTACAGGGCCCCATAAAATTTACAGTTAGAGGAGGCCTTGTGCGCCTGGGAGTCTAGCTCTAGCCACCGAATGCCTTTCTCCCAGACTCCCTTGCGCTTGAGCAATGTGTGGGAGGTGGTTTAGGTTCCTTTGGGCCCCCAAGGACCCCCAGGCTCCCAGGAGCACCAATAGCTCTTGGGACTTCAGCCAATCCCGGTCCCCATAACCCCCTCCATTTGTTGAAGCCACGCCCCCAGCTCCTACCCCACCCCGCCCCGTGGCAGGGCCCCTCTGTCCCGGAATCCCCAGGGCAAATGGCTAACAGGTTCAGACTCCCGCGTTCCGCCACATTGGGTTGGAGGAGGGGCACTTTGAGACTCCTTACTCTCCCTCACCAGCTTCCCTTCTCCATTTCTGCTGTCCAACAGGCTTTTCCCTTTCGCCACAGGAAGAGCACCGGGGTGCACTGAAGGTGCTCCATCCGAAAGGATCTGGCCCGCGTCATCCGGCTCCTTCCAGCGGGTGCCCGCAGGACTCAGGTGAGATTCAGGCGGATTAGGGGTTTAAAATGGCAGAGAGCAGGGGAGCAAATGATCCGATTTAGGGCCATTGCCTTCCAAAATCTAAGATGTCCTTTGCCCAAGGATGCCAAAACAGCTCATCTGCGTAGCGCGCCTGGCTGCGTGGTGCCCTTTTCTGGTTTGCAATGTTCTTCACACCTTTATTTGCTCAGTTGTGGAGAGCCTAGATTTTCTTCCAAGGGCAAAAATGTGAATAAAGCAATGTTTTAGCCAAACACTTCCATGTCAATTAAGAAGATGGCAATTCGTTCCGGACTATAAATTCTCTTTAACCACTCCCGAAGGTATTCTTTTCAATTGTTTTTTTTTTTCAAGCATTGCTAAATGCGCATCATAATGCGGGAGACTTGTCTAAAGTGATTCAATTTGCAGTCGGCTGATTAATTGATCCTCCATCACCACATTCAAAGAGACACCTCTCCATTGTTTTCTCTCTCTCTCTCTCTCTTTTTTTTTTTACCCAACACACGTTATTTGTTAGTGAGGAAGCTGTGTGCACGTGGCATTGTATAAAGTTTATTAGGCAGACATGGCTCTTAAAACTATAAAAGGCTGAGCCTGACTCTAACTCTAAACTTCGACATTTCTGTAAGCAGTAGGACATGGCATTCAGGTTATTATGATATACTGGAATGGAACATAATTTTGCAACAATTTTCATAACAGGAATAATTCCAAAGGCATCTTCAGTTAGCAGCACTGGTTTGGTGTTTTTTTTTTTTTTCCAACAAGGGAACACTACATCAACAGTCTTGGGGATGTGGACCCAGAAGACTTCTGTTTCAAGAAAGTACAATCATCTTTCAGATGCTGTAATTTATATGCATTTTACTACACTAGCTATTGAAAACTCCCCAACTAGGGGGTTAAAATATAATCAATCACTAGTGTAATAGTATACGTCTTTTAAAAATGTTCCTGGAAAGTGTTTTATGATCTGTAAGTCAAAGGATCCGGTCCCACCATTTCATTCTTCCTGCTTTTACTCCCAACCTAGGCTCCCCCCAAATTTGTTCCAGTTGGCATGTAAACTTGTTTTCCCACCAAATGAGTCAGTCATGATGGGAGCGTCAATTGATTTGAATAGATGTGCGTCAGTGTTACTTGGAAAAACTAGATGTCAATAACCAGGGCTACAGCAAAAGGCAGTAGGTGTAACTCTGTAAAGCATTTATGCTTGCACACAGACAAGGACAAAAGTAGAATCCTAAACAGGAAAACATTTGGATATACTCCAGTGCTGGGAGACTAAATAATTGTATGTTGCTTTTGATTTCCATTAACTTGGGCAACTATCCAATTAAACAAAAGCCCAAGAAGGACTTGGCGGTGCACATTATTTTTACCGAGTATTCTAAAACACCATAATCTGTCAGTCCATCGAGGAAGCAAGAACAACAAGGGACTGAGTTTGCTCCTCGAATCTTGGAGAAAACATGATTCTTCAGGAAGTGAATTGACAGGCAGCTTTCCCTTGAGACCATGTAGCATGAAAAATACAAATAGATTCCAAAAGTATAGTTGAGGAAGATCAATGAATGTGTATTGATGGAGACTGAAGGACCTGAGCTGGGGACTATATCAAGCTGACATTCATTTCTAGAGATCTATTTTCCCATTGGCGAGAAGCACATCTCGTGATCCCAGAAGTTTATATGTTCATCTTTATTTAGACTTATTGCATAACTCTTAAACAAAACACAGTATGTATACACCAATCATATCAAATATGTATCTCCCTGGCTCAGTACGGCCTGACCTGACTACGCCCACCCGTTAGTATCTGTTCACCTAGCTAGGATCCCCTCGCTCCGTCCTAATATTTTACCCATCTGCTTTCCTTCCTGGCTTCACAATTGATCTCCTTAAGTTCAAAAGGCCTTAGAGCCCAGTGGGGACCTTAAGCTGCGTCATTAGGGAGGAGCTTCTACAGACTTCCACTTCCTGTAGTCCCTCAGCCTTAGATCACTCCCCTTAAGCGTCTTCTGAGCAATTGATGGAAACTGAAGAGGGGGCCCTGGTCCCAAGTCAGGGGGCTGGGAATACTGCTTGCTTTGCAGCCTGAATTTCCTGAGGCATTGCCCTGGCTGGGCGTTTGCTGCCCCGCCCCCACCTCCTCTCTGTAGCGAGAAAGCCCTAGCTTTTTGAGCCCTAGAAACAAAATCTTTGCAATCCTCATCTCAGCACTTGCCCTTTTTTCCTTTGCTCACCTACTTTCCCACCTGCTCTCCTAGATGCATTGTTTGCAACAACTTTGAGATAAGACACCCCGGGGATTCTGAAGATTAGGGATATATGGGAGCCTAGGTACCGAGGTCTCAGCATCCAGACTTCCTGCTGTGCCAGGTAAACGGCCCTACCTGATCATCAGAAACCAACACCACAGTGACTACAACAGAAAAAGGAGGGAACTTGTGTGTTCTAGTGGAAGCGGCCTAGTGCCAAGGCGAGTAAGAGCCTAACTGCTAGACACTTCCCAACTGAG